CATCATCATCATCATCATCATCATCATCATCATCATCATCATCATCACCACCATCATCATAATCCTAATTCCCCTGAGAACTGTCTTTTGCAGTCTGATCTTGGTTTATTAAAAAAGATGACAAAACTTTTATCCATCCACTTGGTTAGCAGGAAACAGCCTGTGGAAAAAGTCTGTTGGGACAGAAAGTAATCTGATTTAAAAGGAGAAATAACAAATTATTCAAGTATCTCTTTAGTCACTTTCCCCTCTATTACACTTCCTACGTTAACCATGGTTTGGTTTCTTTAATAAACACAAAAGTAAATATCTTAGTAATCGGACAGTAGGATCATAGGTCTGAAGTTGGAAAGGACCTCAGAGGCCTCCATATTTAAAGAACAGGCTCAAATAATGAAATATTTTAAATAACCTCAGGTCAGCAGCTTTAGAATGCAAGAAAAATAAACATTTTAGAAGAGTTATGGAGACAAATGTCCTAAAACTGAAAATACAAATTAAGTCATCTATATGACTGTAATAAAAAAAATACAAACCTAAAAACTACAGAAGGGGTAGAATTCATGTACATCTTACCTTTTATTTTCTAATTTTTCCAGTTCCTCACGCTGTTGCCTCTCAAATTCAAGCCTAATAAAATCAAATATAAATGAGTCACTTTGGGGTAATATATTTCTCTACTTTGCTCTCTCTATGCACATACATGCACACACGTGCAAACACACATATACAAGCATTTATACATATTTCTATTAAAATGTCAGTTTTAAAAGTGTTATTTTTAATTATAATTTATTAGTAAGCATTTAAATGTTTTATTTGTTCTACAGCAATTGAAAAAAATATTCCTTTGCCACAGTTAGAAATAAAATGATTTGTTCCTGGATGCTTGTATTCAAATTCAATTGTAAATAATTTTCTTGAGAAAAACATAGTATTTAATTATATTAGAGTTAAACAAGACTTCTAAATGACAAGTACTGTTACTGCAAATCTACATGTCTACTACATGCAGATGCAGTCACCAATAAATAGAAATTAAGTTTCTCTACCTTAAACAGATTGGTCCTTTAACAGGAAAAAGACTGCTAGGGGAGGTAGAGAGAAAGCAAAGTGATGAAAGGAATTAATAGGGAAGAAAATCATCACGAGAAAAGCAGTCAGATACTTTAATGCCAACAGTCATGCACAAAATGAGATTGCTTTTTCAAAACTAATGCTTGGAGATAATTTATTGATAAGACTGAAAAAAATAAGTTAAAATTTGTTAGGTTTACATACTTTAAATGAAGTCAGTATAACTCCAGTTTAAATAATAATGCTATAAACGATAAATCATTTAATTTTTTTACTATTTTCCCCAGAATTAGCAGTACATATAACAAATGCAATGATTCGATGTTATCTATAGCTCAAATAAATGGGTCACATAGCATATAGTAGCCATTAGTGCTTTATCTATTATATAACACAGTATTTAACCAAGTATTTACAGAGATAGAAAAGGAATTGAGATCATTATTTCTAATCCCCCTGCTTTACAGATGAGGAAACTGAGGTTAAGAGAGATGATGTGATTGGCCAAAGGTCACACAAACAGTTGAGTAATTTAGGACTAGTATCAGAGCTCCTGACTGCTACTCCAATACTCTTTTTCATTATACTACAAACTGATTACATAAAAAGTCAGTTCAATACGAAAATAATTTCAATTCAACAAATATTTTTTAAGTGCCTACTACATAAAAGAAAGTACCAGGGATACATAGACAGGGCATGTGGGAAGCACATGGAACTTGACATTGAGAAGTCATGGTTCACTTATGATGCTCTTATGGGATTCTAATATGAGGCAGCATTTAATAAAACTGCTTTACATATATTAAATCCTCTTTTCATCTCTCTAGTGTACCTTTTAAATAGCTGATATTCCTAAAGAGACCACGTCATTCTCTGATTCAAAATGATCCTATTGAAAAAAAGATAGGGGGGCTTAGATTCTTAAAATCTAGTCAATAGCATACTTTTAATGCTCAGACTTCTTAAGAGTCTGCCCAATATGATGGATGGTCTAATAAACCTTATCTTTGGCTGGAAAAAAAAAAAAGAAAAAAAGATAGGGGAAAAAACTCTTCTGACATTAAAAGCTCATCATCATCTGAGTCTAGTCTTCTCATCTAGACTGTTTACACCTTAGCCCTTCCAATCTGTTGTTCTTTATCCACCACATCCCATTTCCTGTCACCTTGATGTCTTATAAATTTGGCTGGCTGTCCCAAAAGCTGAAATGTGTTATCTCCTCATCTCTACTCCTTAGCTCCCTTCAAATCTCAAAGGGCCATGTTGGCACTTTTACTGATTCCTTCCCTACCCCTCCCTGAACCCCCTCCCCCAAAAAATTACTTTGTATATATTTTGTATTTATTTATATGTGTATGATTTGTCTGTCTGAGAAAGAATATAAGTTCTTTGATGGGAGAGACTGTTTTGTTTTCATCTTTGTATTCTCAGTGCCTGACATATAATAAATAATTGATTGATTCTCATAACCATCTATAGATTAGCAGCTACTGATATTATCTCTAATTTTCAGATGAAGAAACTGAGGCTCAGTAAATAACTTGGCCTTGGTTAGGTAACTAGTATCAGAGAGGAGACTTGAACCCAGATCTTCATTGATTTTAACTCCAGCACTTCCTTTCAATATATTATACGCTCCCTTTATAGTCCTGAGTCTTTCAGTCTCTGTTTAATTTGAAAACTGAAGGGGAGATTTTGATCTGGACAACCTCTAAGATTTCTTTCAGCTCTAAAATATATACATACATATATATATATATACACACACACACACACACATATACACATATACATGCATATATATATACATACATATACATATAAATACATACCATTTACTTATTACTTTGCCTTGCACCAAGATTAAGAAACCTCATGGATTTTTTTAAAGGACTCTTTATTTTTGAAGGAAATCCAAATGTTTAATTTATAAGAACAACAATAAAAGTTAGGATTTAGATATTACTTTAAGATTTTTAAAGCATGTTACATATTTTATCTCATTGATCCTCACAATAACCCCAAGAGGCAGGATATAGACAAGATGACAGGGATTTATATTTTATAAAGCACTAAGAAATCTCAAGATACTCAGAAGTCCTTATAGGGATGGATACTGAAAAGCACATCCCTGGACAACTCCTTCATGTTTACAAAAGCATAAGATCATAGATTTAGAGCTGAAAGAGAAATTAGAGGTCATCTGAAAATGAACTGAAGCCCAGAAAGGTGAAATGAATCATCCACCATGAGATATTTAGCATGTGACAGAGCTGTCATTTGAGTTCACATTCTTTGACTCAGTATACCATGAGAGGATTGATTCCTATGGTAGGAACTATACTAGATGTGATTTTGGGCCACTATTTATAAAGGGAAAAGTAATCATCATCTACTAGAAAAATTAACTGATAGCATATTGAATTTCCTTCAAAAATAGAGTCCTTTAAAAAAATCCATGAAGTTTCTCAATCTTGGCACAAGGCAAAGTAATAAGTAAATGGCATGGAGAAAAAGTCATAATCTAGTGGTGAGAGATGACAGTCTGGCACAAAGCAATATGAAGCTGTTGCCATTGGTGAATGATTTCCATCAACAAGAACATGCTACTTATCTAATGATCCAGCTTTTTCACAAGCAGAAATATGTGAAAAGAAGGTAAACTTAATTATATTCTTAGAAACAAATCATAGTGTTATCTTTCAATACTGAAGAAAGAAGGTAAATAATAAACACACATTAGTATAGCTTTCTACCTAGGTCTAATGGGGTGCTTTAATTTTTATTTGAACCTCATAACTACTGCTAAGACAGGTATTAGAAGTTTTGTTTTGGGGTCTGTGTGTGTGCGTGTGTGTGCGTGTGTTTGAGGGAGTGGAAATTCTATACAGTGATTCCAATGGAGAACTAATTTGAAATTTATACTTTTAGAGCTGCCTGAGGTACTAGGAAGTAAAGTAACTTGTCCATGGTCACATAGCTAGCCCACGTCAGAGACAGGGCATGGACCCAGAGATTCCATTATGTCATGCTATCCCTCAATCTGTTTTATTATCCACAGTTTACTAATTAATTAACTGAGCCTCAATTGATTTCAATGACTTACTCAAGGTCACAAAACAACAAATTCAGATGGAAATCAATGCCTTAAAGTCCAATGCACTTTCTACTACAAAATGTCATTGCATAACACATATCTTCAGACTCCAAAAAGTAACTTAAAATGAAAATTTTCTTAGAAACATCCCTTCCTATTGCAGTTAAGACAACTTTGAGCTATCACTAGACATCTTACACCTTATTTTTTTTTCAACACTAGAAGTGAGAAGGCAAATTTCTCATTTCATATCATTAAATCAAAACTAGAGGTGGCGATTAAAATAAACCGTTCTAAACAAAATATAATATAAACAATTAGGTCCTAGGTCTTGCCTTTGTGGGGATTTCCATCTCTGTGAGTATGGTGGAGATCAGAGTTCAAGACACAAGAGCAGTTAAACATACAAAGTCACACAGAAGTCAAAGCCAAGGAGCCACTACGCATTAGGTAGACAAGAAAAAGAGGCATTTTACAACAGAAAACAGATTTTCTTAGCAGGTCTCTTTCCATTCTGCCTTTCTTGACAGAATTGTAGCTTATTACAAAAGGTACTATCAGGGCATTACAAGTAGTTATCCATATGTATTGCTATATGCAAAAGCTTATTTTCCAGTAGCTCTGTAAAAAACTACTCATCTCTAGAGAGTCTAATTCAGGGATTCATAACCCGTTCATTGACTTGGTTTTGTGGTGGTGGTTGTTTCCTCTGAAATCCTATAAATTTTATTTTATGCATTTAATAATATCATTTTAAGGAGTCTACAGGCTTCACCGTACTGTCCAAGGAGTCTGTGACACAAAAAATGTGAGAAAATGAGCTGAATTTAAATGCCAAAGTCACTTACTCTATTACTATCCAAAAAACTCTACCTTTGGGAGATGGCCTGAACTCAATAGTACAATATGGTAAGATTTACCATTCTTTCAACTAAAAAAGATTATAAGCACCAAAGTTACACAACATGTTGTTATTGTTCAGTTGTTTCAGTCATGTCTGACTCTCTACGACCCCATTTTGAGGTTTTCTTGGCAAAGATACTGAAGTGATTTGTCATTTCCTTCTCCAGCTCACTTTATAGATGAGGAAACTGAGTCAAACAGGGTTAGGTGACTTGTCCAGGGTCACACAGCTATTAAGTGTCTGAGGCTGGATTTGAACTCAGGAAGATTAGTCTTACTGACTTCAAGCCCAGCCAGCCTCAGTTTCCTTAACTGTAAAACAGAGATGATAATGGTATCTACCCTTGAGGGTCACTGTGAGGATCAAATGAGATAATATTTGTAAAGCATTTAGCCCAGTGCCTGGCACATAGAAGGTGCTATATACTTATTCCCTCTCTCTTTCCCCTCCAGCTATAGCAACCTATTGTTAAGGGTCACACAACAAAAAAGTCAGGTCTTCGTGACTATAGATCCAGCACTGTACCCACCATGCCAATTCACTACTACT